CAGGGCAAAGCTGGCTTCGAATGGGGAAAAAAGTTACTGCCACCGGCGTACATCGAAAAAAAAAGCCTTTTTTTTTTTTTTTAGAAAAGGGCAAGTGCTTGACATTCTTGCTTTGTAAAATTAAAACTACAAATCTGTGGTCAGACACAAAATGTCTAATAAGCCTTAAGAGAGGGAAAATGAAGTGTAATTTCAGTGCAGCTTTTGGAGGAGAGAGGGTGTATGAGGAGGATTTCAAATCACCCAAAATCTGCTGTTGTTACGGTGGTCTCCCCCATTCTTCTCCTCTTTTTTTTCTTTAATTTTTTATCTTACTGGCAACTGATTTGCCTTTTACAAGTTGTATTTGTAGAAGCAGGAGAGCGTTAATTACAAGTTCAGATACAAGCCTCGCGCCGCAGCGTGTATTCTTATCAGATGGCTGGGTAAGTGAGAAAGCAAAGCAGTTGGTTTGGGAGAAGTGGCATGTGATGGTACTGAAACCGCAGTAACACCTGGTGAACGTGCATCCTGTGTGCTCGAGAGATCTTCTAGTGGTTTCTCAGCATCGTGTGGGTGCTGAAGATGGGAGATGGAAGCAGCTGTTTGTTTTCTAACATGCGTGGGTTTTTTCTTACTTTTTCATTAACAAGACTGGTTTTGGGGTAGCCAACCTTTCTTGTCTGTGTGTTGGAAACGTGGGGACAAAGGAGGTGACTGAAGAGGGTCATTTCTCTGTGTCTTAAATTAATCCAGAAAATAATTTTGTCTTTGTTCCCTCCTCTTTCCGGATGAATTGAACTTCCTGGGGGAAGATAGAGGATTTCTGCAACCTTCCTTTTGTCTGTTCTTATCTGTTCTTGGGGTCTTGGTTTATTTCTTGGTGGCTAAACTGTCTCTTTGTAGCAGCTGGAGGTGTTAAATAGGTTGGAGGATACAGTCTATAACCACCTTACAGCTACTTGCAAAACGTAGCATATCCATTTGAAAATGGTGAGGAATTCTGCTAAGAGAGCTTGAACGCGAGGAACAATGTTTGTACATGGGACCCACCCCTACCCTGCCCAAGTTTTGGATATTCCTTGTGTGCTTCTGCATGGTAAGGGGTATGGAGATAGCACCTGTCTTGAAGAGCTAACGTCCCAGGAGAAATTGTGCAGATAATATGGACAGGAAGGAAGGATGAGGGTAGAAATAGCAAGGATGAGCGGCTGCAGAGCCTCGGTAAGAGGGTTGTGTTTCCCCAGCTGCATCTTGCTGTCCCTCTGAAAGCAGGCTGGTTCACTTGCTCGTGGGGAATTTTTGGGATCCCAAGGGGAATGTACAGGAGCTGCAGAAGGACACGAACTTGATTTTTCGTAATACTGTCTTTTCCTGAGAGTTTGTTTCTGCTGACTGTGCAATTGTGGGCACTTGCTGGAGGCTATGATCAGCTGGAAGCTCCCTGGCCCGATATGAAATGGGCGTTATAGCACAGATGCTGGGACTCGACTCCTGCTCCCGTATCACCCATCACAAGGCTTTGCGCTAATTCCCAGGCTGGTGTCGGAGCAGGATGCTCCGAGGGCTGTAGTCAGCTGTAGTCCTGTCGCACGTCTCCTTCTTCCCCCTGTGACCCCAGACCTGCGCCCGAGCAAAGGGGTTGCACGGGCTGCAGAGGGGCTCGGCACGCTGGAGCTGCTCACCCCACACTCGGGCTCTGGAGCTTCACCCTGCATGGTGCATCTCTTCTCCGTGAAGTTGGATGGTGCCGATTAGCTCCTTAAATAACTTCGAAATCCGGTGCAGAGGAGCACAGAGCTTCCCGACCACGTGGAAGCAGAACTTGCCAGGGTTTATTCGGGTTTGCACGAGGAGGAATTTTAGTGCTGTTTGCTGAGGGGCTTGTCGAGTCATGCCAAATACCAGCACCGGGGGAGAAGAGGAGTCTTCTCAGCGCTAGCAGAGGGACCTCACTGCTGCAAACGCGTCTGTCAGCTGCTCTGACTCGAGCTGATCCGCCTAAGATACGAGCCAGGTCTCTGTGAAACGCAAATCCAAGCCACGAATGGTCATGGGCCAAGTTTGGGTGCTGCTTTCTTTCTCCCCCTTAGTGAAATGAATTCTCCATTTGGGAAAGGGGTCAGAAGCAGCTACTGCAGTGCCTCTAGGTTGGCCTATGTCTGGAGCTTGAGCTGGTTGCTCGTGATAAGATAGCATGATCCAGGCAGAGTCTTATGTATGTGTCCATCATTAGCATGGTCTTTGGGCACGTGCTGGTGAAGAAAACAGTCTTTCTGCTTTTGCCTTCTCCTTGTCTGGATGATGCAATTAGCAAATCTGTCTAATTGTGAATGGGCAAGGGGGAAAGAAAATGTTCTCCTGACGTCTCAGTCCAGAGGCGGCAGTTGGGTGTGTGTGGCTTCGACAGAGGCATAATCAAAAACCCCACCCATTACAAATCATCAAAGTTGGAGCTTTTGTGTATCAATATATGTGTATGCTTATGTCCTAAATCTCCTTTTTCATATAGATCTAGGAGCTAATTCAAAATAAACGGTAAACGGTGGACCTGACGCTTACATTTCAAGGCGGTTTAAAAGCAAAACATCATTCCTGTTGTTTTGGTGCTGTGCCACCTCTTCTCCAACTTAATCTCAGCCCAGAAAAAATGTTAATCAGAATAGCTTGTTACGGGCTGCAAGTGCCAGGGAGGATATGGCTGAAGAAGAAAGCCTGAAGCTCCACAGGTTCAGGCATCAAAAGAGGAAAAGCCTTTTTCCAGATACTTGCAGAGCTGCATGGCTGCAGGCATT